GATTCAAAGGGGTGAAGGAGATGGTGGGGACAGGTTACTCTCCTAAATGATCTTTCACCTTCAGATGAGCAGTCTGATCAAGGTGCAAGTCACAGTGGGGAGGATGAAATTTTCCTGAATGGAAGAGAATGCTGGAAATTCATTTTCTATCTGCTCTAAATTTTATTTATACAGGGATAAAAATTGCCTGTCTTCTTAATAAATCCACATTTTCCTGCTTGGCATTTGGGATAGTTCTTTGTGATGAGTGGGGTAAGGCATGGAGAAAAGATCTGACAATGGGGGGGGGGAGGGGGAAAAAAAACCCAAACACCAAAAATTCATCTTGTATGTCTTCCACTGCATTTGTTAAAGTGAGTGTTTGCTGGAGAGAGGGTGAAACAAATCTAGATTCAAATTGCACAGGATAGTGGCAAAAGAGTTGAATCATTTTGGGAAATTGTATCTCCCAGCTTGTGTCAGGTTTGTCCCAGCCCTGTCATTCAGGGCTTGCTTTAGGTGGGAGGGATCCTGCTGGCTCATACACCGACACTGGGACTGGTCTGCATGTCACATTTCCGTCTTGGTGCTTATCTCCCTGACCTCAGGGATGGGAGCATCTCCCACAGCCTGCCAGACCTGAGGGCCACGTGCAGCTGATGGCATGGATGGTTATTCAGGGAGCTGATGTAGTTAGCAACAGAGACATCATATTCTAGTCTCTCTGTATTTGTTTTCTCCTTTTTCCTTTGTGATTGGCTGCGAGTGCATCTGGATTCCCAAGGAGTGACTTTCTGCACTACATCACCCGCTGCCCATGACTTAGGTTACATTTCCTTTGTTTCGCTTTTTCTCTCTAAGTTATGTTTTTCGTTTGACTGGAAGCAAAGTGATATGGCTTTTGAGATACCCCACGTGTTTTTTAACTCCATGAGGGTTTCTCAGAAGGGTTGGTATCTCCACTGACCCTACCAGAAGACCTCCCAGCTGTGCTTTCAGACAGGACACTTGCATTTTTCCATGCCCAGAGCTGAAATCTTCATCCACAAACATTAACTAAAAGTTTTGTTGGGTGTTGCGTTGTCCTAATTGCTTGTGTCCCTTCTACTGTAGACCCCGACTGGGCCAGCTTGAATCTTGGAGCCCTCATATGTATCGAATGCTCAGGTATACACCGAAACCTTGGCACACATCTGTCCCGGGTACGCTCCCTGGACCTGGACGACTGGCCTATAGAGCTCATCAAGGTGATGTCTGCCATCGGGAACGAGCTGGCCAACAGCGTCTGGGAGGAGAACAGCCAAGGCCACATGAAACCTTCATCAGACTCCACAAGGTAGGCTTGCTGACTCCATCATGCTCTGGCACACAGCGGGTAGTAATGTGATACTCCTCCTTTTAAAATCTGCGTTGGAGTGAACCTTGTAAAAATTACCATGTAGATACACCTTCACTGCATGCCCAGAATGAACATATGTAAAAAGTTGAGTGACCTTGTTACTTCTTCATTCTTGTGAAGGTTTCCTCAGCAGCTCTACAATGTTGTTGTTCATTTGCCTGACTGACAACAGTGGGAGATGGAAACCTCCCACCTGGTCATTCCTCAAGCTGAATTATCCTGTCATGCGTTTCTTTGTCTTGGTCGGCCACACAGTTCCTGTCCCTTGGACTATCAGTTTGTGATTAATAATCTGCCTTCAGAAGTTTGAGCTCATTCAGAAACTTGTACCTGGCCATCAGGTCTTTGGGTTCTCTTCACAGATGTTCACTGTGGACTTGATTGCTATTTCCCATGTGAAACCATGACTTGGGGGAGGGGGGGGAGTGTTGCCTGTGAGAACAGTATTTTACAAACCTCTCATAGCTCCACACAGTGAAAATCTTCCTGTGATAAGTTGTCCTACCAAAAAATAAAGGGTTTTATGCTTAATTTATCTGAGCAGTGTCAGAGATAGATGTTTTGAAAATACAGATTTGAATATATTTGGGATGTAAGTTCAGCATATTGGTGTGGAGGAAGTGGAGTGGCCTCTGGCAGGGGGTTCAGGCAGGAGAAAGACCTTCTGGACCAGGTTGCATGCTGGGCCAGCCTTTGAAGTTGTCTTCAGAAGGGCATTGTGGTGGTCTTGGGGGAGCTCCAAGGGGCAGCCAGCATCTGAGCACTGCTCCATCCCCAGGACAATGGTTCAGCTCTTGGTCTGTGCTTCCTGCATATGAAAGAACTCAGAGGGAATTACGTCTTGATTTTGTTGATGTGTATGTCAGGATCCTGCTTTTTTGCAGTTCCAGGTCAGGTGCAATGGTAACCTGAGAGCACATCCCTGGGCCACCTCCCATGGTGCAGGAGTAAGTTTGTGCTGTTGTCTGTAATAAAGTAAACTGCTCCTTATTGCATCATTTCGTTAGCCCTGAAAAATGAATTTGTGGTGCCACCTTTGGTTCAACTTCGAGAATGAAGCCGCTGCATTAATCAGGCTACTTAGATGAATGACTGTGCATATAAAAGTGCTCAGGGAGACACAAAGAGAGGTTTGGTTCAGATGGAAACGGGATGTCTGAGCATACAGGTGTGTTACTGGGCAACATAGTGACTTCATCCAGCAGATCAAGATGAACTTCTCGCTGCCTTTCAGTCACTGGTATCACTTTCATCCTTATATTCCTGCACCTAACAAAATATGTTGCTCCTTGCTCCTGAGGGGAGTTGGAGAGATACCTCAGTTCTAAATACTTGCAAGGAACAGGCAGACACTCACTTAGAATTTTATTTTTAAAAGAAGAAAACCCACATTATTTTAATAGTCATATAATAAACATCATGAAAAACCTAAAATCCATGTGGCTGTGATGAAAAGAGCACCATCCATTTGAACTAAATAGTTCATGTGGGGTTGAGTTTTACTTACAGAAAATCAACTTTGTTCGCTTTGTGTTTCATGCTTAGGGCTGATTTTAATTCTCCTAATTTGTTTCTGTCCATCCTTATGGTTGTTTTCAGCTTCTTCTGATTGTCAGTGACATCGTTGCACTTTCTTTCCTGCACTGTAACATTTTTGGACAAAATTATTCATTTTATGAATAGGAATTTCTGGCTCTGTGTCCAAGTGCACAGTGACATGATGGAAGAGGTGCTGGAAAAGGTGGAATTAACATGATGTGGAACTTTTTCCACAAAGCAATTGTAATCTTGCTCTGCAGCTCCCGTTCTGCTGTTTGCAGCAGGGACTGGAGTGCTATTTTTCATGTAAATACCAGCAGAGTCTGCTTTTTCCAAGTGTGTGCCTCTTTTTGTGCTTTGCTTTGGTCTCAGCCAGCATCACAATCCTTCTGTCCAAGCTGTGGCAAGAAAATAGGTTCAAGTTCTTCATCCAGAAGTTGTGCATGCCACGTTCTCACTGCAGTTTGCAGTTTTGCATGAGGAATCCTCTTGGAAGTAGCTGAAAGGAGAGTTAAACAACCCCAGTTTCTGTTGTTAAGGGACCAAAGGGGGAAGAGGCAAGAAAGTCAGCAAGTTCTTTGGAGTTCTGGTGGAGAAAGGATGGAGGGAGATCAAGGAAGAAAGGAGCATTCAGCATAGCCCCATGTGACAGGGAGGAGAGCGGAGAGCTGGCACTGTGGGAGGCTGTTTCTGCCAGTGCTGGTGAGCTCTGGGATCAGCCAGAATCTTGAGAGCTGCTGTGTGAGTGCTCACACACTCAACACGCTCCTTCTTTAAGGAACTCTCCACAAAGCCCCAGCCAATGGGAGAAGGAAGTACTCCCATGTTTTCCTCCAAGTTTTGTCCAAACTTGTTCATATCCTCATTCGCTTCTGCAGCCCTGCTTACTGCATGCTGCATCCAGGGGTGGTGGGAGTCACCATCCCTGGAGGTGTGCAAGGAACAGCTGCATGTGGCACTTGGTGCTTTGGTCTACTTGACAAGGTGGGGATCAGTCACACGTTGGACTTGATGATCTTGGAGGTCTTTACCAACCTGTGATTCTGTGATCTCTCCTGCGTTGTGTTCCCATTTTCAGTTCCGCTCATTAATTCACACCTAATGGCTTTCCACGTTTGCTCAGACCTTCAGGCTGTGCCTATAAAGTAGTGGAAACACAGGAACAGAAGATTTCTTAATTGTTCCCCCAGCTGATTCATGGCATAGCACAAAGCAGCAGTAAAAGACCCTAGATAAACACAAATTTCTCCTGTGTTTCTGTATGATACGCATGTGTCTGTGCTTCAGTCTCCACTGTGCCACCCCTAAAGCACCGAAAGTTGTTAGCAGAGCGGGGTTGTTCAGCCTGGAGAAGAAAAGGGGAGAACTTAGAGCCTTCCAGTGTCTAAAAGGACTCCAAGTGAGCTGGAGAGGGAACCTGGGACAAGAGCCTGAAGTGACAGGATAAGGGGAATGGCTTCCCACTGCCAGAGGGCAGGGTTAGATGGATATTGTTAAAAAACTCTTGGCTGTGAAGGTAGTGAGGCACTGGCACAGGTTGCCCAGATAAGCTGTGGCTGCTCCATCCCTGGAAGTGTTCCAGGTCAGGTTGGATGGGGCTTGGAGCAACCTGGGCTAGTGGAAGGTGTCCCTGCCCATGGCAGGGGATTTGGAGCTAAATGGACTTTAAAGGCCCCTTCCAACCCAAACCATTCAGACCTCCTGTGATCCTTTAGGCAGATCTACAGGTCATTTGGTGCCCCTGGATCAAAACCAGCATCTTCTATGGCCTCTGGCATTAAACTGGAATGTTATGGGAGCACAGGTGTGGTGAAATTCCCAAGGAAATACTGCAGGGTAAAGCAGCAGCACGAGGCAAAGGTGAGACTGAGGGTGTTGGTGTGATTACAGGGAGGAAGGAGGAATGAACGCGCGCTCTTGGTGGGCACGAAAAGTTCGTGAAGCAGCAGAAAACCCAAGCACGGGCAAATACATGAGTGTGGAAGGGAGCAGAGACCAGCTGCCCTCTGAACAGTGGTGTCCGTGGGTCCCTGATTAGGTCAGCTTTGGCAAGCTGGTAATTGGTTCCAGCAATTACCAGCAGCCCTGAGAAACGCCGCTCAAACTTCGGGAGCCCGGTGACAAATTGAAGCTGACTGCTGGTGAAGGAGTATCGACTTCCCATTTCTAAACAGGGGGATCATTAGTCAAGAAAAGCATCTTTTAATTACTCGGAGGAAGAAAAAAAGAAAAAGGGGGGAAAAGGAAAAGGGTCTTGCAATATGGATCCTGCAGACAACCAGCAGATCTTTTCCAGGTGTATTCAATACCAAATTTATTGGCAAGCAAGGGAGGGGGCAAGCAGGGGCAGTTTGCCTGTGGTCCCTCCTTCGGTAATGTGGGTTTAATTTGGAGTAAGAAGTCAAATTAGAGTAAATCAATGTTGCGACAATTAACTGGGGCTGGGGATGAGATCAGGATTTTCCCTCTAATTGCTATTGATGGTTTGAGCACACCCTTACGCCGGCACTTTGGAGTAGCCCAGCAGGGCAGAGCTGCTCCGCAGAGGAATGTCACAGACCTGGGGGAGCCAGCTGGAAACTGCACTCTGTGTCCCCTGCGGCTTCTGCACTGGTGTGCAGATCTCCTACTAGATATTTAGCTTTCTTCTGGACACACATGTTTTGCTTTCTCCATCTACTGACTGATCCTGCTCACGTGGCAGACTTGCTTGTCACCATTGACTTCCTAAGATACTGTTGGCCTTTTCCAAATGAGACAGGCTGCCACCATCCCTCTGCCCACTCCAGGAGATGATTATCTGCTTCCTCACCCTCTTTCACTGAGCTTCCAAGGTCTCCCTCTCTGTTGCACTGAGATGGATGTGCCAACCTCCACCAGCTGGAGGCTGCTGGGCAAGCAGAGGGGAGGAGGGAAGGCAGTGTTATGTCCAGGCACCATCCCAGTCACACTTGCTCTTCTCCTACTCAAGTGATACAAATACCTGCATTAGCTACATGCAAACCTGAAAGGGTTCCACCATTTCAGCACCTTTTTAAGAATGTTCATACACAGGACCAACCTCCAGCTCCCTTTAAACTGCACCTTCTAAGCAAGGGATGAGTGGCTAGCAGAAGCTCGGGCAGTTTTAAGCTCTGCTTTTTAGCTGGAGGCTGGAGCATCTGCGGCAGTTGTGCTCAGGTAGTCTGTTTGCATAGCAGTTGCCCTGTTTGTTCTGGGCACCAAAGGTTAGGAGAAAATATAAACCTGGCTGGGAAGTCTGGAGTTGGGAGCCAGCAGTATCAGGAATTGACTTTCACCTTAAGACGTCAGATCCAGTTTGATTCCTCGTTCGCTAATGAGCTGTATTTAATGGTGTCAGGGAAAACATTATGCAGCTCGACGGGTTTTAGCCGAGG